TGGGTTGGATTGATTTCAATGCTGGTGTGTGCGGACCGGGGTGTCTGATGTTTGTACTAAAGAGGAAACAAAAAGGAGGAAGAAGCTCAACGCAGATAAAAGATGGTAGAGCGGAGGGGTGAAAAATGTGTGAGATGATTGTACTTGCATGTAATCAGGTGGATCTGAGCTTTGGAAGTTGGGGGTCTCTTTCGAGGTGGTGCGATGCTTGATATGTCCAACTTCCAATACGGTGACGTGAAGATCAATAGTTGGTTAAATATAGGCACGGTGAGTGATCTGATGTGGACTGGTATAAAATACATAGACTCACCATTTGAGTGAATGAGGTTTCGGGCTCAGTGACTATTTGACACATCCAAGAATCCACTACGACGTTTATTCCTGGTTACCATATTGCTCTCCGCATCATCTGTATGGACCATTGTCGCTGAGCCCGCAACCTATGTCTATGTATTTTACACCAGCCCGCTGTACACATCGGATCACTCACTGTGCTTCTATTTTATCCAACTGTTGATCTCCACGTCACCGTATCGGAAGTCCTCACCTGAAGATTGACATATCAAGCACTCATTGCTCTCCACATCATCTGTATGGACCATCGTCGCTGAGCCTGCAACCTGATTGATCAAGTTGCTGCATTTGCTACGTGTTTGCATTATGTGACCCGAGTCTGTTATGTGACATGGGAATTTTATTTTTTTCTTTTATCCCCAAAATGTAAAAACCCAAAACGAGTAAATTGTAAAGATGTGGCTGAAATCCTTTATTCCAGGACGTGGGCCTGGGGCCTAGCTGAAAGATTCATCACACGAGGCAGCAAGCTTATGTAAAAAATGGTTTATCTGTTCCATTTTTGTATAAAACACACGGGAGAAACCTAGCCAATCAACACACAGATTTCATTTACAAGACTCCAGGAACTTTTTTTTTTTGTTTTTCTTTTTCTCTGAAACTTTTGAACCTAAACAACATACACAGGTTTCCTCTTAAGTCTACACTCTCTGCTGTCTATTCCATGAACTAGTTCTTTTAGAAAATGAAATCTTTTTAAACGAAAATAAAAACAAAACAGATTTCACATAACCCCATCCTCTTTCCTCTGTCCCAGTTACAGTACAATGGTAGATGGCAGCAGGACCCGATTCCTTATGCAGTTTTCTGCTGTCCCTTCTTTCCGATCAGAGACTTGTGGATGTGAGGAATGACACCTGCAGGTAAATGCAGAAATATGGTCAATCTGTGCAAGGTGGGCAGAGAAAACATGTACCTGGCAGTGCTGTTGCTGTCTATGTGAGTTAGGTATATTCATGTATTATGCGTTTATAGTGCTTTGGCATTAACCAAATCTGATTAGGACAGCTTCTCCGAAACAACGTACCTCCTCCTGCAATGGTGGCCTTGATAAGGGAGTCTAATTCTTCATCCCCCCTGATGGCTAGCTGCAAGTGACGAGGAGTGATACGCTTCACCTTTAGATCTTTAGAGGCGTTTCCTGCCAACTCCAATACCTGGATTTAAAGGCAACAAATAAGTCTCCTCAAACACCAGATGCAAGAGAACCTCATCTACTGTAAGGCAAGGCTTGTATTATTCTTAGTCTACAACGGTAACAGACCTGGCTTCAATGATCAATCCATGCATCAAATGTAAAGAGTTACAGCTATAACCAACCTCAGCAGTAAGGTATTCCAAAATGGCAGCACTGTACACTGCTGCGGTAGCACCAACTCTTCCGTGGCTGGTAGTGCGAGTCTTCAAGTGTCTATGGATACGACCCACAGGGAACTAAAGCACAATTAAAGAAGACACATTTAAGCACTCGATTTGTCAAATGTAACTCTACTACCAAATACAACCAACATGGAAATGTCACTAGGCGCTTATGCATTTTATCAAGGGGGTGGGCAACCTGGACAGCTGTTGTGGAACTACAAGACCCAGTGCATTGGTATTGCAAGACTGCCACCCACAGGCATAATGGGATTTGTAGTTTCATCATAGTTGGGGTGCCAAAGTTGCCTACCCCTGCACGACATAGTGAGTAGGAATGCTAAACCTGCAGATGCCGGCAGTAGAGAAATCTATTGCTGCTTTGCCAGGTAAGACCAATAGCACAATAGTCTGACACGCTCTCCTGTGAAAACTGCATTACGGAGAGAAAAATTCTGTATTAGACCTTTACATGGTAAGCTCCTCGAGGGCGGGGACTGATGTGACCGTGTACATTATTGGCAATATATATATATACTTGTAGTGAATTAAAACGTACCTGCAGTCCTGCTCTTTGGGAGCGAGATACAGCTTTGGCCTTGGCCTTCCCACTATCCTTCCCAGCCTTACCACCAGCCTAGAAAGAGGGGAACAGAAGGGTTAGGTTTTTTTACCTGACATTCTACTTGTGTAGCTGCAATAAACTGCAACTATTACAAAATAAATAACTGAGAAATATCCCAGCAGTTGCAAGAACTCCATGATCAATGCATATATAAGGATAGAAGGTTCCTGCAGTTTTTCCATCTGTGGTGACAGGTGACAGCGCAAAGCTTCTGTGGTCTTAGGCCCAGCTATTGTCTGTGAGCTCTTCCCTCCATATGGTGCTGACAGTCAATCTCTGATCATATTGTGCCAGCTATTCACCAATTAAAGAAAATGAATCTAATGACTACTTTGTTTCCTCTTAAAGCTTTGATGGCGATCGTTACCTAAGTGACCGCTTGTTGATTGTTTTGTTTTTAAATAGCTGATAATGACATAAAACCAATGTCTGTGACTCCTCTCATCCCTTTGTAAGATGTAATAGAACAGTCAATGTAAAGATGTCGTTATTCTAATTGGAAGCATCTGCAGACCGAGAGGCCCAGCATTGTGTTTTGTCGGGAAGAAGCTTTTCAGGGCATTGCATGGTAAAAATGTCTGTGAAAAGTGCGTTGTGTTATCTTTAGGCTAAGTTCACACCTAGGCGATTTTTATTGCGTGATATCGCGCAAAACACAGATTCACATTGAAGTCAATGGAGTCTGTACCGACCTTTGCCATTTGTCGCGTGAAAAGGTGCGGGAGCGATTTTCGGGCGGTTGTCGCTTGACAGATGCAGACCGTGTAGCTGCTCCTGCAAGGTGGGCACACGGTCCGTGACCGTGTGCCTGACTTGTCAGCTGGCCACATAGTACCGGCTTGCGGGGTAGTTGCCCCGCGGGCTGGTACTTTGAGACCCCTGCCTTAGAAGTTTTCATACATCTTTCTGTCTAGTTTATACAACATGGGAAATGGAAACCGGCATATTTCTTTTTACACTGGAAGCAAGTTGTGTAGGACGGAGTGTTTTGGATCTTTTATTTGTAACCCCAAAATGTGTACAATTATGTATTCTGTATGTGTATTGAATACTTTTTGGGAAAGAGGGTATTTTGACTTGGTCTGCCGTAGAGATGTAACATTTCTGGACATTTTGAAGCCATGAGAAAACTTTTTTTGTTTTTTTCCGGAAAAATTGAAAAAAAAAATCATTGGAGTATTTTTACAAATTGAAGTCATCTTGTTACTCTAGGAAGGTGGAGTGCAGTGTATATAAAGTATAATGCTTGAAATAAAAGTCCAGCTTATTCCGTAGATCAACTAAACTTGCTTTTTAAAATTGTATTTTATATTTGCAAATTGCAGCTTTGCTCTCGGCCGACGTTGCACTGGGGGAAATGTTTCCAAACTCTAGATGTTGGTCTCCTCTCAGTAAAATGTGGAGGCAAAAAAACAATTTACTGGGCAGACTCTAGGTGGTAATCATTATACTGTGATGGGGGAGAACATTATTAGGAATCATTTAAAGGTTATAAAGATAAACTAATTTGTCAGAGAAATGTCCCCTCTTACCTGAGAGGACAAACTATCATCTCCTATCATACCAACACTCGCCCTACTGTAGGAGGTACAAGATAGAGCCCACAAGCTAACTAAGCTGGAGCCTTTCCTCTGCAGCGCCCCTAGTGGCAGGAATGCCGAGTTTGAAAAGTACAATGTTACTTGAATTGTGAGTGTGCAATCATTTAAGACTTTACATAGTCTCAGAAACCTTTCATTAAGGTCTTCATGTTATATAGTTTGAATACCGTGTCACAGATATATTATTTATTATTGTAAAAGAAAATATTCCACACACTTTTATTTCAATTTTTCCAGAAAAAAAAAGTTTTTTCCATTTTCCAGCCCTTACCATCTCTAGTCTGCCAACCCATGTTACCTGCGTTGCAGAAATATGTGCACGTTCCGTTCATTTATTCACAAATACATTTTCACACAAATATTCATACTAAAAATCCAGTTGGAATGTTCAATAATACCATCAGAGGTGATTGTCATTTGAAATGTCGATTGCTTTTCGTTTTTATTTAACATTCGCTTTTAGTATGAATGGAGTTATACAAGCAAAAACCACATTCACCAAATTCGTTTGAGAAAAATGTCCCATCATGCTTCAAATTTTTTCATCACCGCAGTCGAAATCGATCGTTGATTTCACCGCATCAATGATTAGAAAGTCAAACGAATGTTATGAAATAGATTTTGTTTGTTCAGCATTCTAACCATGTAGACCCTACAGGACGTTTTGCTTTGGTCAGCATCAGTAAGCACCAAGTGTCAGATCCTCGTCTACAAGCTGCTGGTTCCTATGTTGGATATTCGCGGAGTTTGCCAAGTCATAAGGCTCCATTCACAAAGCCAACACACCAGGATAAGGATCCTTAATGTTATTTTCATCTCGGAGCCAATAGATTTGAAAATGTTAGTCACATGACTGAAAATAAGATCCGTATCCTACTGCTAAAGCTATGCTGTACTTTTTTTAAAATTTTATTTTAAAAAGCTCTGGGACTGAACTAGGGCTGCGACTTTATTTTCATAATCAATTAGTTGGCCAATTTTTCCGATTTAATTGGATTTAAAAAAAAATTGCATCCTTAATTTGAAATAAAATGCAGCGTTACAAAGTTTACTTCAGAATAAAGCTGCATGCACATTTTTTTTCCCCACTAACACTGCACTGGAACACACGGCATTGCAGTAGGGTGTGTTCCAGTGAGGGTGATCACACTGCAGGCGTGAGAGGCGTCTGAGAAATGAATGGCACCACAACGCACATTTGGGAGCAGAGTTTTCAGACCATATATTTTATTATAAAAGCCCAGTCATCAGTTTAGAATTAGCTGTGAATATTGGCCTGAGAATTATTGCTCTCACTCCAGCGAAAACGGTGATACCTGACATGTAGGGCAATCGTTGTTTTTTTTTCTCTCTATGTAGGTGCACCCGACTTGTGTCTCCGTTAGTATACATGCGTTTGCAGGGTTGGGGGAACTTTACATTTTTGGGGGGCATTTTTAATTTTATTTTGTAAATGTTTTTTTTCTTGACCTCATTGCTGTGATGGTACATTGGGGGTGACAGGTTCTCTTTAAGGTGACATAAGGGAGTCTTTTAGACCCCTAGTGTCACCTTGCCACTTCACTGGGGAATGACAGCTGAATGTCAACACAGCATGCAGTGACTAGGAGCAATATCCAGCCTGCTATTGGTTATTTTAAATTGCAATAGCAGGCTGGCTATTGCACCCACCCAGTGTCTGCTGTCAGTCAGCAGAGGAGGGAACTGAAGTAAAAAGTTCTCCTGCAGGTTGTCCTCTGCAGATTTGACAGCAGGCACCGGGCAGGTGCAAAAGTCAGCCTGCTATTGCAATTTAAAATAACCAATAGCAGGCTGGATATTGCTCCTAGTTACTGAAGGGTGTATTGACGCTGACTTTTTAACACGGGTAGAAGAGGAGGGCACAGGGGAGCGGGAGTAGCAGAGGTACAGGGACAGCAGCGGTGGTGGTGGGGGGGAGTAGCAGAGGTACAGGGGCAGCAGTGGGAGTAATGCAGATTCTCCTCCCCACTGGTGCCGGCTGCACGGTCTGTGTTCCCTCTGCCGATTACAGGCGGGGAGAGCAATGGGGATTGAAAAGGACACAGCAGCCAGCACTAGCAGAAGAACGCAGGAGCAGAGCGGCGGCTGCATCTAATTGAACAATCAGCTAATTGATATTGCAAATCGTTGACCACGATTCTAATTATCAATTAAATTGATTAGTTGTTGCAGCCCTAAACTGAACCTCATGGTGTGAAGTTGCCTCATTTAAAACCATTGGAATTCTTGTGTATGTGCTTTTGGTGCAGATAAAGACAACGTTCCGGTCTAGATATGGTGTGAACAGGCCCTAAAGGTGGCCATACATGGAATTCTGTTAGAAAACATTCTAGAAATGTTTGTTTGGTTTGTGAATAGTTAATTGGTCTTATTATATAGGATTTATATAGTGCCAACAGTTTGTGCAGCGCTGTACAATGTAATGAAGCCATTAGTTACAATAGAAATCAACACAAGATGGTAAGGAGGGCCCTGAGGGCTTCCATTGTTTGACCGTACTGATGAAAAATATTGAGGTAGCAGAATGGGAAATATCTCGAAACAAAATTCCAACAGTGAATATGGTTTTCATTTGGGGAAACGCCATGCATTCCAAAAATCAAACAAAGTTTTGACCTCCATTCACCATGCCTCATAGGCCGGGTTCAAACCTAGTCGGCACAGTTTTTGTGTGCTGTTACGTGCGTGCGGTTAATTGCATGTTGTGCACATTTTGGTGTGTTTGTGCGTACATGGAGACACGCATTTTGACTGGCAGCTTATAAAATGTTGTGGGCAATGGACGAATGCACGTTCAAACGTGCACAATGTGCAACATGCTTCTGTCATGCATTTTTGGACATTTCCATTGAAGTCTATGGGGCAAAAACTCGCTATTAACTGCCCAAAGAAGCTCCTGTACCTTTTCCGGCTATTGGCGGTTTCCTGCTCAGGTGTGAATATGAGGCATTGGATTTCTCGTGTTGGGCATTTCCAACTGCTCAAAAACACCTAGGTGTGCACCAGGCCTTATAGCAATATGGAATGTTCGGATGGAATTTTTAGTATAAGCATTCGTATGAAAATCTACTAGTATGTGGCCAGCTTTAAGCCAGCTTTAAGCCCCATTCACACCAGTGTGTGTGTGTGTGTGTGTGTGTGTAAAATGCACTGCGCAGGTGTGAACCAAGCCTATGATCTTAACATCAGTTCTAAGTATTTCAGTGTGTCTGCATCCAAAGGCAATATTTGGCAATAATAAATATAACAAATGCACTTTTATTTTTATTTTAATAAGTGCATTTATTTAAAGCATTGCAACCCTGTAGTCATGCATGTATCAATATGCTATAAAATATCAAAATCAACCAGAGACCTTCAGAATGATTTGAATGCTCTTTACTGCCATTCTGACTGATATAATTATGTTTATGGTGTGGGTGCATCAGAGAACTGATTGTAATACAGATAAACTAACTGCTCATTTACACCAAATTTATTACATTTGCACAGCATGGAATAACGTATGATGGATCACTTTTTTTGTGTGATCCCCTCACTGCTCCCAAATCGCTATGTCTATGGTCACCAGTTCTTGGTCAGAGCTTTAACACATCCTTGTCTTTTTTCCAAAAGAAATTAGGATCTTGCAAAACTGTGTTTAGTGTTGTCAGCTATTTCCCCTCCAGCATCTGCCAGCGGGAAGTTCAGATAAATATGAAATGAGGAGACTGAGCCTATCTGGCCGTGCCTTGTGCTGGGGGCTGGATGAGGATTAGCAGCAGCAGGCTGCTCATTGGCTGGGCTTTAGGTCAGCGTCATCCCTTGTTTGTGTGTAATAACAACGTTCACAGCCTCTCGCTGCTCATATTGTCCTCCTCATCCGGCTCCCTACAAGTTTCTTTTTAAATGCATGAAGCCATAAAAGGGCAAATTTTTTAAGTTTACCATCTGCTTTATGTGCCATGTGTGAGAGCAGTACGGATCATCTCTGCCTAGGAATGTTATTACACACCTATGAGGGAAGCTGCACACAAGAGTGCCATCAATGCCCCCTACTAATCCCTGTCTAGCCTCCAGTATTAGGCATGGTTGAGGGGAATTCATACAAAAAAAAAACCCCTGTAAAGTTAAATTTTTAGTACCAACACTTTTCCTGTATGGTGCTATTATTGCTCCAAGTTCATAAAGAATTACCACCAAATCAGCGATAAGAAAAGTGAAGGTAAATAGGACCTCTTCCATGTTGGAGGATATTGTTCAGGTCGTCACATCTGCGATAAATTTGTCTCTGCACCTGATATTTGATTTGCTTCCATCACTCCCCCAATGGCTTCTCTGTGTGACAGATCCATATACACAAATCTGTCGCGCTGTCAGCAATGCTTTCTGAAATGTATCTAGGACACTCTTGATGAAGTCCAGGGAATGTTTTATGTCTAAAAGCTTGAGATAGGGGGAGAAATAGTTTCCAATATCATAAAACACATTGGTGAAGGATCCGAATTATTCTGCTGAAGGACACTAAGCTGCATATGAGCTTCATCCATGTAAGATTGGGATATTTATCACCTTGGTGAAGACGGCACGGGATGATGATCTGGTATACATGACACAGGTCAGATGGTCAATGTAATGTTTGCCAACCACCACTTTGTTGTGGCGGCATGTATTTAAGACTTCCAGGGACTGGGATGCTAAGGACAATAACATGGCACTGTGTCCTGATTATAATTAAGTAAATGTGAATATACTTTTCCTTTTATCTTTGCCAAAAATCTGAGATTTTTGGCATCGTAGTACTGAACCCCAAGACTGTTTATTGTATGGAGAGCTGGGATGCCTGTGTTATAGCTACAGGGAGGCTGGGGGATCCCCTCCATAACGAGGCTCCTGGAAGCTGGAGAGCCCCTCCGTAATAACAGGACTTCAATTCTGGAAGCCAGGGGGATCCCCTCCATGACAGGGGCTCCTGGTAGCCAGGGATCCCTTCCATGACAGGGGCTCCTGGTAGCCGGGGATCCCTTCCATGACGGGGCTCCTGGTAGCCGGGGATCCCCTCCATGATGGGGCTCCTGGAACCCGGGGGATCCCTTCCATGACAGGGGCTCCTTGGTCCTAGGGAACGCTCTCCTGGGTGATCCACTGTATATAACGGGTTCCTGGAAGCCAGGGGATCCCCTCCACAATAACAAAAGAGGCTACTTGATCCAGGGAATGCCCTCCAATAGTAACAGGGGCCCCTGGACGCTGGGATATCTCCCTTATAACGGGGACATCCTTTATTTGTAACAGGGGTCCCTGAAAGCTGGGATATCTCCTTTATTTATAACAAGGGCCCCTGAAAGCCACGATATCCCTTTTTTGTAACAGGCCCCTGCAAACTAGGATATCCCCTTTATTTATAACAAGGGCAAGCCGGGATATCTCCTTTATAACAGGGGCCCCTGGAAGCCGAGATATCTCTTTATTTATAACACCGGCCCCTGGAAGCCGAGATATCCCCTTTATTTGTAACGGGCCCCTGGCAGCTGTGATGTCCCCTTTATCTGTAACAGGGGGACCCTGTAAGCCGGGATATCACCTCCATAACAACACGGGTCCCTGTAAGCCGGGACATCCCCTGAATAACAGGCTGGAGGTCCTCAGTAGGGGACCGACCCGGGGCATACTGCGCTCTGGTGTAGGCAGGCGGTTGACAGCTTTCCTCCCTGCCCTGTGTGTGGTGAACACTGCGCCGCCTCACACATCAGACTCAGCTGCTCTTCCCGCCTTTTCCCGGGACAGTCTATGAGGCTCGCGAGCCGCCGCCACTGCCGGCAGTCATACGAGGCCCACTGGTGAGGTATTTACCATGATCCGGAACTCCGAGCTTCGCCGTGAGAAGGTCCGGATGAAGTTACCCCGTGTCTACGTTCCTCACTGCCGCCGGTACCGCGCACTCTCAGCCTCACACACACAATAACCCCCCCACCCGTCAGGCCCGAGCGACAGGACGGTTCGTAGCCAATCGCGGACAGCCTTCCTGGTTTGAATCCACGTCCCGACCTATCGCGCGCCGCCTTGTTTCCCAGTTGCCTGAATGGCGCCCCGCCCCTTTCCCCTTAACGGCTGTTTCCCTCCCGAGGCCTCTCAGCTTGCTTTTGCACACGGCCCGAAAGCGAGTGGGCGTGACGCTATAACGTCAGTGGGAGAAACCAAGCCAATGGCCGCGGAAAGTGCGTCGTGACCGACAAGCGCGCCGACAAATCAAGAAGGTGACTTCGCCTAAGGCGTGCCCACGGTGTTAACGACAGGGTCGCTGGCCAATTGGATGAATGGCTTCCGCCGAAAGGCGGGGTCTTCCCGTTCCCGCCCTCGTAGTCTTGTTTGCTTTTGGGAAAAAGCTAAAATGGCGGCTGATGTTTAGTGTCACAGAGAGTGAAGCACCTTGTGCTCTTACTGAGGACGTGGGGCGTTCACGGCGCTCACTTTTCCTGGTGATATCGTGGGGGAAAAAGAAACATTGCGCGTTATATGCCCGTACTAGCGACGGAGACAGATTCTGTTTCATAGAACTGAATCATTTGCCGTTTTACAAAATTGTAACCAGCTCGTTCATCGTTTTGTAAACTGTTGTCCGGACAGCTTTTTGCAAATTTGCTTTTTTTATGCATCATTGTGAAAATAAAGTACAAATAGGAACACATAGTATTCCTTTCATGTCATCCAAACTATCACCAGACCGAATGTGGTCATCCAAATAATATCATCTGACTGAAAAGAAACGTTCTACACAGATGCAATCTACAAAAAACCGACATAAAGTCAACTAAAATCTGAAATAAAAGGTTCCATGAATGAAGAACATGTTTTCAGCACATTTACAAATCATAAAATAGAATATACATTGGCTTGCAAAAGTATTCACACCCCACCTTAGCATTTATTTTGTATTTTGCTGCATTACCACCTGGAATTAAAATGTATTTTTGGGGGGTTTGTATCATTTGATTTACACAACATGCCTACCACCTTGAAGATGCAAAAATACCTTTTATTGTGATACAAACAAAAAATAAGACAAAACAGAAAACTTGAGAGTGCATAACTATTCACCCCCCTCCCCCTCTAAAAGTCAATACTTTGTAGAGACAGACACCTTATGCAGCAATTACAGCTGCGAGTCTCTCGGGGTACGTCTGTATAAGCTTGGCACCTCTAATCACTGGGATTTTTGCCCATTCTTCAAGGAAAAACTGCTCCAGCTCCTTCAAGTTGGATGGCTTTCGCTGGTGTACAGAAATCTTTAAGTCATGCCACAGATTCTCAATTGGATTGAGGTCTGGCCTCTAGGCCATTCCAAGACTTTAAGGCCTCATTCCCACAGCTGTCGGCCCGTACAGATCCGTGCGGCGTGCACGACGTTTAGGGCCGTTCCCGGGAAGGACAGGTGCTGCGTGTGATTTGTACACAACAGCCTGTTCTTCTCTGTGGGAGTATGCGGCCGTACGCTCACCGGAGCTGCACATCCATCCTGTCTGCATACGAGTGCAGAGGCTTCTAGATTGTAGAGGCTTTATCAGATTGCACACAGATGTATACAGTATATACTGAGATCATGTAACCCTTAAGGTGCCCATACACTTTACAACCCTTGCAAGACCTCAGTCTTGCGAGGGTTGTAAAGTAATTTAAAAAACGTACGATCTGCCCATCTTGGACAGGTAGATCGTACTTGCGATCATCGCAAGCCCGCCCCCCTGAGGGGCGGGCTTCCGATGACCGCAATGCTGAACGGGCAGTGTGCGCATGCGCACACCGGCCCGCGCGGCATTGATCTTACGATCATGCTTAAAACCAGCCGAAAATCGTACGATTCTGGGATGGTTTTCTAGCATGCTCCTTAGACAAAAGACGTGCGACCGTACAGTAAAAACGGTCGCACGCCTTCTATACACTTTGCGATTATCGTACGATCGCAGGATTTCCCGCTATTATCGTGCGATAATCGCACAGTGTATGGGCACCTTTAGATTGCACACAGGTGTGTATATATACTGAGATCATGTGACGCTTAGATTGCACACAGGTGGTCTTTTTTTAACTAATGATGTGACTTCTGAAGGTAATGGGTTGCACCAGATCTTATGTCGGGGCTTCATAGCAAAGGGGGTGAATACATATGCGTGCACCACTTCTACGTTTTTTATTTTATTATACTTTTATTGAAACAAGTTCTTTTCTTGATTTCACTTCACCATTTTGGATTATTTGGTGTACGTCCATTACATGTAATCCAAATAAAAATCCATTTTAATTCCAGGTGGTAATGCAACAAAATCGGAGAATAGCCAAAGGGGGTGAAAAATGTTGCAAGCCACTGAAGATGGACTAATAATAGCTTCTCATAGACGGGCTTATTCAGGTAACAGTGCCGGGTCATACTGCACTGAGCTATATATATATATATACACACACACACACACAGCCCGGCCAAAATATAAAGTCACACACTCTAATATTTCATTGGACGGCCTTTAGCTCTGATTACGGAACACATTCCCCGTGACTTTGTTTCGATAAGCTTATACAATGTCACAACATTTATTTCCGTCCAAGATCTTGTATTGATGATGGGAGAGTCAGACCTCTGTGTGAAGTCTTCCCCAGCACATCCCAAAGATTCTCAATGGGGTTCAGGTCTGGACTCTGTGGTGGCCAATCCATGTGTGAGAATGATGTCTCATGCTCCCTGAACCACTCGTTTCATAATCTGAGCCCGATGAATCCTGACATTGTCATCTTGGAATATGCTCAATGTGCCATCAGGGAGGAAAAAATCAATTGATGGAAAAACCTGATCATTCAGTGTATTCATGTAGTCAGCTGACCTCATTTTTTGGGGACATAATGTTCCCGAAACCTAGACCTGAGCAACTGAAGCAACCCCAGATCACAACACTGCCCCTACAGGCTTGTACGGCAGGCACTGGGCATGATGGGTGCATCACTTCATCTGACTCTCTTCCTATCCTGACGCGCCCATCACTCTGGAACAGAGTATATCCGGACTTCTCAAACCACATGATCATTTTCCATTTCTCTAGAATCCAATATTTATGCTCCCCAGCAAATTGAAGCCTTTTTTTCTACATAGCCCCACCGATGAGTGGTTTTCTTAAAGGAGAACTATGAGGTGAGTGCTTTTCACTCACCTCATAGTTCTAGCCGACCTGTGACAATGAGACTGTCACAGGTCGGCTCTGTAGATCGGGAGGTGAGCGAACACATACCGGCGTTCGCTCACTTCTCCATCCTGTCACAGCTCTCTGCCGTGACAGGGGAGGGGCTGGATTCCCCGCTCCGATCCGCCAGCGCTGGCTGGCGGAACGGACGGGGGAGGGGGCTGGTACAGCTGGCTCTGCCTCTAGATAGGCAGACCCAGCTGTCAGTCACGCAGCTGGGCGGATCCCGGCACAATTGTCGGGATCCGCTTCAGCTGCGGCGGTCTCAGTATACCGCGAGCTACAACTCGCGGTATACTGAGCCTAGGGTGACGGGAGGATGCTAGTTTGCGTCCTCCCGTTACCCTAAGGAGAACTATGGGGAAAAACACTGACCCCATAGTTCTCCTTTAAGGCTAGACAGCTGTTTCATCTCAACCCCTTGAGTTCTCTTCGCATTGTGCGTGTTGAAATGCTTTTTCCTTCACTATTTATTATAGTCATGCGTTCTACTGTTGATTTTTTACGATATGATTTCACCAAACGTTTAAGTGACCTCTGATCACGCTCATTCCAGATTTTTTTCTGACCACATTTCTTCCTTGAAGATGACGGTTCACCACTATCCTTCCAGGTGTTAATAATGCGTTGGACAGTTCTTAACCACTTGCTGCAGGTAGCCGTAAACAGGAGCGTCCCGTGGCCGGGTGCCGCCCGCTGTGTCTTCATCTCGCGTGCTCGATGACGTCATCACGCATGCGCGGCCATCTGATTGACGCCTGCCGGTGGCCATCTTGATGATGAACGCCGGCAGAGAGAGGGGGGGACATTCACCTGGCAGGATGAGGTATGCCGCCGGGTCCCCTCCTCTCTCCTGACACTGTCGGGCTCTCGGCCCATGACCGAGTGCCTGACTTTTTAGAGGGGGCGAAACCAAAATGACTGTCAGTTATTTTGGTGTCACCCCTGCAATGGTGTCACCCGGGTACGGGCCGCACCCCCCTTGTGACGCCACTGGCCGTAAATATGCGGCAGGCCACAGAAGTGGTTATACCAAGAACACAGCTGCTGCAGCCGTGTTCTTGGTGTCATTTTAAAAAGCCGGCGATGGTTGTTAAGATACAAGCGATCCGGCGTCTATACAGCCGCCGGATCGCTTGTAGCGATTGACGGAATGTGGTGCCCCCACCTCCCACCGACGTCGCAGGCTTCCTCGGGCACCGCTGTCCCCTGTGCGGGCCCAGGACCGGCTCGGCGGGTCTCCCCGCAACAATCGTAGAGAGATCAGGAGGCTTCTAATCACTGGACCCGGAAGTGATGTGTATTACATTACGTGGTTGTTTAAGAAATGAGTAGCTGCTCACTGCATCGGTAAGTTCCCTGTTCACACCTAAGTCTAGCAGGAACACGCGCCACGTTCGCAAGCATTTGTTTGCCGTGCGCCACCCCTTGATTTTAATTGGTTCCTGCACACAGGATAAACATGGGAAAGTTGCTAATGTAGCAAATTCTGCTAAGGCACCCTGTGCGTTCATGCAAATTTTAACATGCTCTGGGGTGCTATGAATTAGTAATGGCATTGCAAGCATGTTGCACGTTTTTGTAAGCGCACGTTTTCCCCATATGTTTGACGCGCGTTCACAGTGATGCCTAGGTGTGAATGGGAACTTAGGGTACACATTACATTCCGAAAGCTGCAATATTAAACCACCTTTCCGTTGCAAGGGATCATGCATGTGGTCGCTATTGGCTGTACAATGTAAATTCCGCCACCAGGAAGCCACACGTGCTGCTTACAGAAGTCGGCGGCTGTACCTGGATATATGCCGGACTTGCGTACATATGT